CACGAGCCTCGGCCGCGTGCGAGGAGACGGGCCGACAGGTGAGGGCTGGCCCTCCTCCCAGGTGTCAGGCGGCCAACACCCAGGATTGGTGGGACGGCAACTGCTCACACGCAGGTGAGGCTCAGCCCAGACGGCCTGGGACCTGCTTTTCTTTACACACTCACTCACACACACACTCACACATTCACTCTCACACACACATTCACTCACACACACACATTCACACTCACACACACTCACACACACACACATACACTCACACACACTCACACTCATACACACACTCACACATTCACACTCACACACACTCACATACACACTCACACACACATTCACTCACACTCTCACACTCACACACACATTCACACACACACACACACTCACACATACACTCACACACACACTCACACACTCACACTCATCACACACACACACTCACTCACATACACCAAACATGTCAAACTCAGGAGCCTTCCCACACGGAGCAGACCCCCCAGCACCAAAGGTGGAGACGCCGCCTGAGCAGGTCGGAGCCCCTCAGCCGCAGCAGCTGCCGTCTTCACGCAAACCCCGCGCCCCTGGCCAGCTCCTCTGTGGCCAATACAGCGAGCTCTGGGCGCCCAGCTGGCTCCTGGCCAGCCTCCCGGCCGCGGGCTTCCCCCACGTGACCCCGTGTGACCCCACGCGTGACCCCACGCCCACACAGTCCTGTATTCTGCTGACCTGGACTCTTGATTTGTTTCAGAACCTTGGCCCCGCCCACTGGTCTCTGGGGCACCTTCTCCACACTGGCCTCGCTCTCCCCTCTGGACCCAAACGCAAGCTCGTTCCCTGAGAACAGAGAGGCCTCCCCGTCTGACCCAGCCCAGGGCCCACAGGACCGGCCCGTGTTCTGTGCTTTGGGGCAGGTGCCTGGCCCCCTGCAGGGGTTGCCCTTGTTCAACAGCCAACAGCTGGGGGTCCACTCAGCCCGACAGCGAGCACGTCAACCTCGTGGCCGCCCGCGCTCAGCCAATATGACGGGACGTAGAAACGTTTCAATAAAATTCCGTAACTTACTTCTTACAATATCCTGTTACACATAATTATTAATAACAAACTACAATGTTCGCTAATGACTGATGACTATCATCGTGTTGCATTCACTTCCCTTACGCGCCTTACGCGCAGGCGCACCATTTCCCTCCACTAACACCAGCAGCGAATGTTTTAGCAGCCGATGGCCACGTCATTAGTCTTGGACTGACTTGTTTGGTGTGCGCAACAGGAAATATCTCGCTTTTGGAGAACAAGAAAAATAGGTTTATTTGCGTTGCGCTTATTAATTTGTGCAGTTATGCAGTGTCTGGTAAGTTAACGTTCAAGAAAAAATATTAATTTTTGTTAAAATGTCCTATTATTCTGTGTTAACGATGACTCGTTTATTTCAGCCCTTTGTATTCAGCATGTCTCCATCGCAATAGACCTACGTTTCTAGGAAAATGGAAGCTTTTGTTTTTTTGCGGCCACATGAACTTACACCTTGTTTATCCGCCCATCGTAGCCTTTGATTGACACGCTTGCCCTAGAGCAGTGGTTCTCAACCTTCCTAATGCCGTGACCCTTTCATACAGTTCCTCGTGTTGTGGTGACCCCCCAATTTCACTGTTACAAATTGAACATAATTAAAGCATAGTGATTAATCACAAAAACAGTATGTAATTATAGATGTGTTTTCCGATGGTCTTAGGCGACCCCTGTGAAAGGGTCGTTCGACCCCAAAGGGGTCTCGACCCACAGGTTGAGAACCGCTGCCGTAGAGGGTCCGGCTGTGTCCATGGAGTCAGCGCCACACGCCAGGACCGAACCCAGTCGGGCTCAGACTCACGAGCCCGTGTCGGTCACAGTGGGCACTTGGCCTATAGCCTTACCCACGACCCCGCCCCAAAGGAAAGACGGCTACTTCACAGGTGAGCAGACTCCGATCTGCTTCTTTGCTGAGTATTTTCCATCCAGAAATCGCCCCATTAGTGGGTCTCAACTTTGGTTGGAATCACCTGAGGAGCTTTGTAAAATACGGAGGCTGCGGGGCCGGCTCTGAGAAAGCCCTGCATTTCGATGAAAAGACGGGGTGGCCTCCCCCCACTGCTGACAGCTCTCAGCACCGTTGGACCCAAGAGGCCCCGGGACTGGGAACCCGCGGGCGGACGGGCGGGCAATGCAGCAGCCGCCGCGCCTTCACAGGGGGCCACCGCCCACCTCCAGCCCCGGTGGCCGTGGTCCTGGCAGACACGCAGAATCCCGAGGACGGAGGAAACCCTCCGTGTTTATGTAATTTTCTGCAGGGGAAGAGCTGCTGATTGAAGGAAGGGCGGGCAGCCACACTCCGGTAATTGCTCTCAACCCTAACGCTCTGGAGAGGCACCTCTGCGGCCCTGCCTGGGTTTAAGGCACAATAGGCCGCTGGTCCGTTTCCTCCCAGAGGGCCTGGGCGGGGCCGGTCTCCTGAGAGGGCGGTCATCACCTCGGCCGGTCAGCCGGACACCCTCCCGCTGAGTGAGAGGAAGCGAGACGTGCAGTCCAGGAGGCCCATCAACACCTGGGGACGAGACAGTGAGGAGTTCAAGGCTCCCCGTGACGCACACGCCCCTCAGCCCGGACCTGCTTCCCCCAATCCTCTCGTCGGTGAAGTTCCATCTCACTTCCTGGGCGGCACAGCTCTCGTATCTACTAGATTCTAGTAACTAGAATATGGGCCTGAGCCTGAGCCAATTCCACTTACACGAGAGGCACAACCCGTGTGATAGCGGCATTTTCCTCGGGAGGTCACCCTCCGACCCTTTTGTCATTTCCCAGGGGTGGACATCCTTCCCCCTGCGTTTCCCACAGTTCCTGCGTCTCCACCACACCCAGCGGGCCCCACCCTGCCCTGCCCGCCACTGCCACTGCTCCGCTTGGGGACCCACTGCTCCGCTTGGGGGCCGAGAACTGGGGAGGCAGCTGCAGGCAGGGCAGGGACTCGATCTGCTCCCCACCCCGAGCTGCTCTCCACCCCGAGCTGCTCCCCCCACTGCTCCGCTTGGGGGCCGAGAACTGGGGAGGCAGCTGCAGGCAGGGCAGGGACTCGATCTGCTCCCCACCCCGAGCTGCTCTCCACCCCGAGCTGCTCCCCACCCCGAGCTGCTCCCCCCACCCCGAGCTGCTCCCC